TATTATTTTTATTTTTTTTTTTTTTTTGCTTTAATTTTTCTCTCTCCAGTTTTTCTTTCTCTTTTTTATTTCCATTTCTCGCTCCATTCATCTTTTTAACAATTCTTTTTCATCTCATTATTCTCTCTCCACTTTTTCTTCATTCTTTCTTACCTCGACTTTCTCCCCCCCCTCCCCCCCCATTAATTTTTATCTCAATGTTCTCTCTCCACTTCTTCATTTCCTCCTTTCTTATCTCGATTTTCCCACAAGTTGTCATTACCTCCTTATCATTTTTCAACATTTATTTTTCCGTCACTTTCTTCCCGTCTCCGTCAACTTGTAGTTTTGAACTTCTTTAATTTGTTAGAAAACTTAAAACCGGATTTTTTTGCCCGATTTCTGCTTTTGCTTGTACGTGAGGGAATGGAAGGGGGGTGGGGGGAGGGAGGGACGCGGATAAAGAGGGTAGGAGGGAAAGGACGTGGTAATTGGGTGAAAGGAGGGAAAAGGAGAGAGAGAGAGAGAGGAGGAGAGATGGATAAAGAGGGTGGGAGGGAAAGGACGAGATAATTAGGTGAAAGGAGAGGAAAAGAGAGAGGGGGAGAAAGTGAGGGAGGGAGGGAAGGGGAGATGGATAAAGAAGGTGAGAGGGAAAAGACGAGATAATTAGGTGAAAGGAGGGGAAGGGAGAGAAAGGAGAAAGGGAAGGGGTGGGAGGAAGACGGATAAAGAGGGTGGGAGGGAAAGGACGAGATAATTAGGTGAAAGGAGGTTAAAGGAGAGAGGGGGAGAAAGTGAGCGAGGGAGAGGAGGGGAGATGGATAAAGAGAGTGGGAGGGAAAGGACGAGATAATTAGGTGAAAGGAGGGGAAAAGAGAAAGAGGGTTAAAATGAGGGAGGGAGAGAAGGGGAGATGGATAAAGAGAATGGTAGGGAAAGTCAAGGAAGGGAGAAACAGGGAAAAATAGAGGGAAGGAGAGGAGGGGAGACGAATAAAGAGAATGAGAGAAAATGGCGAGAGAATTAAATCAAAGAAGGAGAAGGGAGAGAGAGGGAGAAAAATAGAGAGGGAGAGAAGGAGACACGGATAAAGAGAGTGGGAGAGAAAAGTCGAAAGGGTTAGAGGGGAGGAGAGAGGGAGAGAAGGAAGCAAGAGGAGAGGGAAGGAAAGGGAGACGGATAAAGTAGGGGAAAGGAAAGGAGAGAAGGAGAGACAGTTAGAGAAAGGGAAGAATGGAGAGAGAGGGAGAAGAAGAAAGGAATAAGGGGAAAAGGAAGAGAAGAANGAGCAGGAGAGATCGAGAGACGAAGAAGAGAGAGAGAGAGCGAGGAGAGAGAGGAGAAGAACAGATAGACAGATAGAGGATAGAGATAGAGATCGAGAAGAGATACAGACAGAGAGATGAGAGGAGAGAAGAGAGAACGAGAGACAGACAGAGAGAGAAAGAGATGAGAGAGAGCGATAGCACATCCGAAGCTATCGCTCTCTGTCGATGTAACTACGCCCCCCCTGATTCTTTATAGCCCGACTATAAAGCGTTGGTGGGCGTCTTGTTCATGCTTAGCCGTTGTCTTTATTCATTAACAAAGTCCCTTCTACTTCCTACTTCTCGTTAGAAACCTGAGCAGTCATTATCCACAAACCCTCGAGGCTTTGCACGTGGATATACTGGCAGTGTTTTTGTGAGATGCCGAAAGTTTTTCTATTAAAAAAAACAACTGTATAGGTGTAGGCTCTTCCCTGGATAAAGAAGTCTCCTGTCAACCCCGACACCCGACCAGCAAGAACGGTAAAATCTCGGGGTCATATGTGCACAAGAGACATAGGTAGGATTTCGGACACAGATATGTGCAAATAGTATTAGCTATGCATATAGTTTTACCTATTTTGTTTTGGTTCTACACTTTTATTCCAATATAGCTTTTACTGTGTGTGTGTGTGCTACACTTTTATTCCAATACTGCATTTATTGTATATGTTTGTATGTGCTATATTTTAATTCAATACTGTTTTTATTGTGTGTGTGCTACACTTTTCAGTTCTGCTTTTATTTTGTGTGTGTATGTCGGATGCCTTTACAAATTACTTTGAGTGCTCTGCATTTGTCTTTTAGACGCTTTTAGAGTAAAATATTAAAACTGAGTCTGAAGTGACATTTTATCAGAATCAAGACACGCTTGTATTGCTTGTCCTTAAGGTTGTCTGGCTACGTGCCGCGTGTGTGGTGCTGTGTCTGTGGCAAATCGACTGTGTGTGTCTTGTCAGTCAAGTGCTCAGAACCAGAGTCCAAACATCTGTCATAGCACATGTCTTGGCAACAACCAGGTGTTTGATTGCTCTGACACCCAAAACCTACGTTCTCTCCTTGGCATCGAAACAGAAGTCCTATACGCTGAGGACCAACCCATCGCTGAGGGCAACAGGGATACAAATACTAACGAGGAGGAGGAAGAACTTCTCCAGCTTGAATCTCGAGTCTTGCAGCTCAGAGCAGAGTTGGCCAAAAAGAACTTCTAACTGAAGTTCCTTAGTAACCTAGCTCAGGACTTGGCACATGGACGGGACGCTGGTTTCCATTGTCAACTTTTATGACAACCTTATTGCTGCAGCTGCTATCAATACAGTTGAAATTAAATCTATAGTCCTTACAGCTAAACCCGATAAAATTGATCAGGCTACTAGTCATCAAGCAGCCTCATTATAAACACCTCGTCAGCCACTACCACAGTCTCAGCAGCCAACCTCATCTCAACAGCTGCAACAGCCACATCAGCTGTTATTGTCTCAGCTTGACAATCGAAACAGCCAGCTATCTGCATTTAAGTCACAGGCGCATGCAGATCAGGTCCGCCCAACCAAACACAGGTCCACACACGACAACAGACAGAGAGAGAGAGAGAGAGATGAGAGAGAGAGAGAGAGAGAGAGAGAGAGAGAGAGAGAGAGAGAGCGAGAGAAGAGGAGAGAGAGAGAGAGAGTGGGTCTATATATATCTATAGGTATATATTTTATTTTATATAGATATATTATAGATATATTAATATTATTATTTTTTTTATATATTTTATTAATATTAATTTTTATTATTTATTTTAGATAGATAGATATGATAGATTAGCATTATTGATTATTATGATATAGTTTATATCTGATATAGATCTAGTATAGATAGATTTTTAGTATAGATTAGATAGATATTGATATGAAAGGTACACTACAGTTATGTATTGATAAACGTTATACTATAAGAGAGAGAGAGAGAGAGAGTATGGAGAGAAGAGAGAGAGAAAGGTAGTAGAGAGAGAGAGAGGAGAAGGAAGATGAGAGAGAGAGAGAGAGAGAGATGAGAGAGATGAGAGATGGGAGAGGAGCAGAGAGGAGAGAGAGAGATGGAGAGAGAGAGAAAGAGAGAGAAGAAGAAGAAATGAGAGAAAAGAGAGAGAGAGAGAGAATAGTACATAACTTGCTTAACTATTGGAGAGCTAGATTGGGAGATAATATATTGTGCAGTGGAGGCTGGGTCTAGGGGGAGGAAACGGTCGGTTGCCAGGGATGTTTCCTCATGAACTGGATGAGATCTAATGATATGAGGGATAATTATATTCCTTTGTGACGTTGACTGTTATTTTTTTTTTGGTTTTCTTTGCAGAGTGATGGTCTCTCCTCTCGGCCTGTCTTTCTTGCTTTCTAGCGGGTGTCCTCTTCGCTGTCTCGTTTTAAATGTCGTTGCCTTGTCTTTAATTTGCTATTTTTTTCTGGTCTATCGTGTATAGAGTCGCTGAGTCGTTTCTCTTCTCATTTCTCTCTCTCGTTTGGGTCATCCAATTGTTCTCGGGGTCCCTCTGATCGGGTTTGGTTGTGGTCTCATTTTTCATCGATTTGTTTCTTGTTCTTCTGTTGTTTTTTCATGTTTTTTGCTTTGTTTGTTGTTGTGCGTCGGGGGGGGGGCGTCGGTGGGCGGTTGTTGTTGCGTGGTTGTGTCTTTTTTGGTGTTTCTTTTTTTGCTTTCGTCTTTGTTTATTTTTTATCCTTTTTTGTTCCTTTTTTTTTTGTTTTTTCTTCTTTTCTCTTGTTTTTTTTTCTTTCTTTGTTCTTTCTCTTGTTCTTCCATTTCGGTCGGGGGGGTCGGGTGCGTCGGGGCGGCGTCGGGGTGGGGTCGGGGCTCGGGTCGTCGTCCGGGGCGTCGTCGGTGCGACTCGTTTTCCTTTTCTCTTTTCTTCTTGTTTCTATAGCGCAAATATATATCGTAATGGGGAACAAAGTTTGTTTTTGCCTGTGTGTCGTGTGTGTGGTGTTGTGTGTGTGTGTTGGTGTTGTGTGTGTGTGGTGTGGTTGTGTGTGGTGTGTTGTTTTGGTTGGTGTGTGTGGGTGTGTGTGTGTGTGTGTGTGTGTGTGTGTTGTGTGTTGTGTGGTGTGGGGGCGGGGGGTGCCTGGTGTGTGTGTGTGTCGTCCTGTGGGGGGCTGGGCGCTGGGCCGACGGGGGGCTGGCGGTGGTGGATGGGGCCGTGGGCGGGAGTCTGTTTTAATGTTCGTTGTTGTTTGTTGGTGCGTTTGTTTATTTGTTCTTTGAGTGTTAGTTGTTTTTGTTGTATTTTGTGTGTGTTGTGTGTTTGTGTGTGTGTTGTTCGTTCTCTGTGGTGTGTGTTGGTGTGTGTGGTGTGTTGTGTGGGTGTTGTGTGTGTGTGGTGGGTGTGTTGTTGTGTTTTGTGTTGGTTGTGTGGTGTTTTGGTGTTGGTGTGTTGTGGTTGGTGTGTTGTTGTGTTTTTGGTGGGTGTTGTGTTTTTTTCGTGTGTTGGTGTGGTGGTCCGGATTTTTGTGTGTGTGTGTGGGCTCTTGGATGCGGGTGTGGTGGTGTGTGATTGTTGTGGGGGGTGCGCGTGTGTTTGTTTTTTTATGCTGGCGGGTGGTGTTTGTTTGCGGGCGGGCTGGCTGTTGCCTGTGTATTTTGTGTCCTGCTGTGTGGTGGTTTGGTTTAGTGTGTTGTTTCGTCTTGGTGGTTGCTTTGTTGTGGTGTTTGGTCTTGTGGCTCGACTTTTTTTGTTTTTGGTTGTGCGTGTTTGTGTTGCTCCTGGAGGGTGGGCGTTTGTGCTGTGCAGTTTTGGGTTGGGTCTTCGTATGTGGTCTGCGGGGCGTTTTGGCTCTGTTCCTCTTGTGGGGGTCCGTGGGCTCGGTATGGTTGTGTTTTCTGGCTTTTGTCGTCTCGTTGCTGGTGGGCTGTTCGTTCTGCTGTGTGCTCTGGGTGGCGGTGTTGGTGGTGTGCGTTGTGGTTGTGTTGTGTTTTCGTTTTTTGTTCGTGTGTGCTGTTTCTGGGTTCGTTGGTTCGTGTTCGTTTTGCCCTGGTCCGGTGTAGTTGTGTTTGTTTTTGCTTTGTGTGTTCGGTCTTGTTGTGTTGTGTGTGTGTGTGTGTGGTGTGTGCTGTGTGGGGGGGGTCCGTGTATGCGTGGTTGTGCGATTGCGTTTTGTTTTTGATTGTTCTGTTTTTGTTGCGTTTGTCCGCCGTCTGTGTTTGCGTGTTTGCTTGTCTTATTTGTCGTGTTTCTCCGTCATGTTGGGGTGTTGGCGTGTTGTTAGTTTTTGTTGGTGTGGTTCGTTACCGTTGTGTCGTGGTGTTTTGTTGTAGGTTGCCTGGTGTCTTGGGTTGCTGTGTCTTTGGTGTTTTGGTGGGGTTGTGGTCCGGGTCCAATGTGGGTTTGGGGTTTGGTTCGTGGTTGTTTGTGGTTGTTGGGTTTGTTGTGTTTGTGTGCCTTTTTTGTTCGTGGTTTTGTTTCTGTGTTTTGGTTGTGTGTTTTGCCCTCTTCGTTCTTTTTCCTGTGTCCACTTCTTGTTCTTCTCTTGAGGTTGGTTGTCGTATACTGTTTGGTTATTATGTTGTGTTTGTGTTGTTCTTCTGTGTACGTGTGGTAAGTGTGGTCTGAAATTTCTTTGCTATTGTGTGAGTTTGGTGGGCAGCGCATTTTATATTTTTTATCATCTTTACTTCCATTTTCAATACATTGGATCTGTCTTTTCACCTCATTACCGGATTCTTCGTTTTGGTTGCCTATCATACCTTAGGAGACGTCGTTAATATCACACCTTTGCTTGTAAGCGACCTTTGAGGTGCATACTGAACTTTCCTAGTTCTTCTATTCAATTTTATAATAAATATCATTTTGATTAAACACGTAAATCTGTTATAAAATATGTAATTAGTTGATCGTTTTCACTTTATCCTTTATTCATGATAAATGTTGTCTGACAATGAAATAACGACAATGATAATGATAGTAATGATGATTATAACAATTAAGCAACAACAATAACTATATCCGAAATTATAATGAGAATAAAATAATGATCATGATGATAAATTAATGAACATGAACAAAAGCAGTGCTGATAATCAGAGTGAGATGCTTAACAAGAATAACAATGACCAGTAATGATATCAAATTCTAAAAGCAAAAAGGAAAATATGAAAGCAGAGAGCAAAAATGCAGTAAACATTTTCCCCAAACCAAACAAATTGTTGATAAACGAAACCTCTTTCAATAAAGGTTAAATGGAAATATGATTTTCGAAACTGGTAGAAAATTGCTAAACTAGGCAGGTTATATGGGATAACAGTTTCTGTAAAGGGTTAAATATTCATAGCCGTGTATAATTATATATAAATATTAGTATATATATAGTATATATATATATACGCGAGGGGGTAAGGCTAGTTTTATATATATATTATATGTATATTCTATATGTATACTATATATATGAGTACGCTATATATATAGGCTATATATGGGTGAGGATTGCATTGATGCTATATGTAATAAATCTGTCGTAGTGATGCTGACGGACGTCTGTGTGTTATGATATATTTATATTATATTTTAACTTATATATACACACAGCACAACACACACACACACACACACCTACACATCACACCCACATATATATATATATTATATATATATATATATATATATATATATATTATACCATTATATCAGTATTATATATATATTATATATATTTTATATATATATATATATATCATTTATATTATAATATATACTTATATATATATATATATATATAATATATATATATAATATACAATATATAATAAATATTATATAATATATATATAATATATATATAATATATATATATATAATATATGTGTTGTGTGTGTGTGTGTGTGGTGTGTGTGTGTGCGTGTGTGTGTGTGTGTGTGTGTGGTGTGTGTGTGTGTGTGTGTGTGTGTGTGTGTGTGGTGTGTGTGTGTGTTTGTGTGTGTGTGTGTGTGTGTGTGGTTGTGTGTGTGTGTGTGGTGGTTGTGGTAGTATATGTATCGTATGTAATTATAATATGATATAATATATTATATATATATATATATATATTTATATAATATATATATATATATGCACACACACACACACACACCACACACACACACACACACCCACAAACACACACACACAACACACACACACACACTCACACACAACTACATCACTATCTATATTATA